GGAAGCAGACTGCCCCACTTTTCTTCCATGGAGCAGCTGGTGGGTTTGAACCATCAACCTTCTGGTTAGCAGTCAAATGCTTTAGGCACTATGCCACCAGAGCTCCTTTCTTGCACTAAAGGAAGGAGAAATGAGAACTGTATGCACCTGGTCCGACTGATCTACAAATCCTTAAAGACACAGACCTTTGCGGTCCTTGTCCGTAATGGGACTGCCTGTGCTCCCGAGGAAGAAGTGCACTGGCCTGTTCTGGGACATGTGTCCACTGCTGTGTGTGGGGGGGGGAGGGTCTGTTACCAGAGAACAAGTGACCCCCGCACAACAAACTATCCTTTATTTGATGGGTGATGCTGTCCCCTAGGCCTGCCCCCCCCCCAACATGCCATGGTCTGAGTTCCATCACAGTCCTGGACACTTTTTTCTTAAAAAGCACCAGGCTTTCTAGTTCAGTGGGGCCTGGTTGGCACAAAATGGAGCAGGACTACCCATTTCCTTTTTTGATAATGACTAAGTATTAATGCAGCAGGGAGCTCTGGTGGCCCAGTGCCTAAGGCACTTGACTGCTAACCAGAAGGCTGGCGCTTCAAACCCACCAGCTGCTCCTCGGAAGGAAGACCGGGCAATCTACTTCTGTAGTGATACCACCTCTGAAACCCAAGGGGGGGTCGCTATGAGTCAAACTGACTCCACCAGTGAGTTTTTTTTTTTTTAAACTCAGCATAAAGCCCTCACACCTGTTTGCAGCACTTCACATGAATGGAGTCCTCCTGCTGACAGAAGTGAGTAGCCACACCTCCACAGTAGGGCCGTGAGAGGACCGCCTGAGCCAAGCCGCCACACACAGCTGCTTCCTCCCCTCCCTCCTCTACAGCAAAGTCTCCAAACCCACCTGGCCTTTGCAGCAGCATCTCAACTCCCCGCTCTGTGACAGTGACACTGTTTTTATGTTCCCTCCTCCCTCTGCTTTTCACTCACAGGAGTGGACACGTGTCCCAGAAGGAGCCATGGAGCTCTCCCTCGGGGCCCTTCTCAGAGTGAGCAGGGCAGGGTCTCCTTCCCGGCTGGTCTAAGGCAGGGTCGCAGGTGCAGTCTGCGGGGAAGCCGGTCTGCGAGAGCCGACCCTGGCGCACGGGGAAGCATTCCAACTGGTCACTTCCTGGGCGAGCCAGGCTGGAGGCCCTCCCCATGCCACCCCTCACCCTTTGTCCTGTTATTTCTCCTTAAAGCTTCTAAGTTGGGTTGATGTCACTCATGGCCACGACACACTTTCCCCTTTTCTTACCTCCTGCTGAAATCTGATCTCTGCTAAAGAGGGACAAGCACTTCTGGAGCGTAAGGTCACACCAGAATCAGCCATAAGCAGCGTCAGCGTCAGCGTCATGTCAGTGTGAGAGGCTTGTTCACAGGCATCATGCTCAGCAATCAGGGGCCCAGGGTCTCTCCGGGAGTGGAAAGCGGGATTGAACGTCCTGGAGGGCTGAGTGTCTGGGGCTGAGCAGGAAGAGCGGGAAGGATGTGGACAGGAGGAAGAGAGACCCCCTCGTGTACGTAGGATGAACGCAGACAATGGCAGGTACCCATGTCCCCTCTTCTGGGCTATTCTCCGACTTAGATGTGGGCCTACCTTTCCTAACATTAGGGTACTTAAAACAGACCTAAAGGGCCCTGTACAGCCTGTGCAGGGTCCTGGACGTGTAGCACACAAAGACACCACATGGTCCTGTGTAGCGTGTGCGCAGCCCTGGGCAGCACATGGTCCCGTGTAGTGTGTGCATGGCCCTGTACAATGTATGCAGAGTCCTGGACAGCGCATCGTCCTGGGCAGCACATGTGTGGTGGAAAAGGAAGGAAAAGTGATTTCTTGCTTCCTCTGCAGAAACTCAGGGCAGGGGGCATCCCTCTGAGAACTGCCCCCACATGCCGGCCTCCAGTGAGGGTGAAGAGCAGGACCCCTCCCCACACCATGGCCACGGTTCCAGGAGTGCAGAGCAGCTGTTACACGGCCTGCAGGTCACTGCAGCTGCCCACCACTCCCCAGTGTCCACAGTCCCCGCAGCTTCAATTCTCCGACTGCCCTGGGGCATTGAGAGAATACAGGTCCCCCCGCCATCTGAAACAGAACGCCCGTGAACCCTTTCATACGCTAAGGCGGCATAAAGTGAAGAAGCGACGGTCGTTAAACAGGAAATGTTGACCATTCTCAGGCCCAGAAAATAATCTACCAAGTAACAGACCAAACCTCAACCAACACACAGTAGCTCAGGAATGAAGGACAAATACAAAGCCTACATAACGCAGAATACGGTGTGGACAGCGTGGCTCCCAGGGAAGGGCGTGGCAATGCCGCTGTCACGACGTGCGGAGGGCACTGCCTCTAACACTGAATACTAGTTTCGCCTTTTTCCATCAAAGCGAAAATCCTCTTCAGATTTCTCTCAGTCAGCAAACACACGCTAACATAGGTCTTTCATAAAAGCAAAGTGGTGTGAAGTGAACTTGGGGGACGCAGGGCTACCTGTAGAGGTAAGAACTCAGGTCTACCCCACGGAGCTAAGGGACAATTAGCAGAGAGGAGCGCGTGGAATGCCCTTCTGTGGAGCAAGCTCACGTGCCCCTTTTCCATCCCAGAAGATGTCTTCCCCACCCCAAAGGGGCCTAGAACAAGAGGGGACCCTGCAGCATTGGGAGTTCACCAAGTTGCACGGCACCGCATCACGCGCCACACTGCTCGTACAATCCCTGCCGGACTACCTCCACTTCGGTGATGTCATCCAGGGACCCGGCCAGAAGAGTGATCTCGATGTCCTGAACTTTGCAGTCAAGCAGCAGGTTATGCTTCTCTAGACGTTTCTGTTCCAGAGAGGTCTGGACTTTTATGCCTTCCTTTTGCAGTTTCCCCACTTCCCTGTCGACACACAGACGGGAAGAGTGCTTACATGCTACTCCTTATGTAAAGGACACCGAGGAAGGAAAAAGTACACGTTGCAAATTAACATGGAAAAGCCCATGTTTTCCCTGGAGTGCCACGACTTCTAGAATGATCTCTCTGATGCATGTAATCTAACCTTCAGCAGTCCTGAGAAAGACCATGGACATAAACAGTTAACCTAAGGGAGCCTTTCCCATAGCAAACGTCACCATGCTGGCCGGGGCTTGTAAACCCGCACAACTGACGGGCTCAATTTCCCCTCAAATACAAGCTTGACATTTTGGAACCTTAAACAAAGAGAAATATTCTCTTAGCAAGAGCAGTGGCTCACCAGGTAAAACACCAGAGCTTCATCCCCCGCCCCTCCACTGGATGACTTCTGTTTTAAGCTGACAACTTAGGGTTTAACAATTGGAACAGTGTGGGATTTTAAAGAGGGTCTACAAACGGGGAAAAAAAAGTCAAGAGTAAAGGGACTTCATTCCAGTCAATAATCTCAGAGAACTTTCCAGCTGTGTCTTGACACAGTGAAGGTCTTCAAACAAGTGAGGAAAATTGTGAAAAGCCAGGAGACTGCCCCAAAGCAGAGCTCCTTTCATCTGATCTCTTACGGCCATGCCAGCCACCCAGCAGAGATGTGTGTCACCTGGGTGCAACGCAGCAGCCGGTTCAAAGCATCCTGTCCGGTGGCTTTCGTGGTCATGATCACAGCAAACGTGCACATGGTTTTAACATGCCAGGTACTGGTCTAGGTGCCATCTGAACAGTAAGTCATTTCACCCCTAAAACTATTCTGTGAGGAAGGTTCTGCCATGATGCCCACTCTCCTGAAGAGGAAGTGAGCAGCAGAGCTGGGACTTGAAACAGGCGGGCCGGCTCTGGGTTCCACCCCCCTCATCCTCCACTCCATGTGACACAGACTACAGCAAAGACACCAGCATCTGGGGGACTGACTAATGGTGAGAGGCTGTCCACAGAGGTCTGAGTTTTCATCTAGCAAAAACCAAACAATTAATTCTGAACAGCTAACTGTGCCTCTTGTTTTTTCCCCAACAAGAATGTTTGAGGTGTGATGTGGGGCCAAAGAAGCCAAGGGTATGTAAGCCAACAACACAGCTTCCTCTATGCATTTCCAGTGAGCAGTACGGTGCTGTCTTTCCAGCTCATGAACTTCGTAATTACCTGTCGACAGCCAAAAGCTTCTTCCGTTCTTCTTCCATTTGAGCTTGGACTCTCTCAGTGTTGGAATTCTGAGTGGCAAGCGTGTCCTTGAGTTGCTGCCGCTTGTCCATGAGCTCCTCCACGACCTTCAAGCAGTTTTCTTCAGTCTGCAGGGGAGTGGCATGTAGAGTCACCGTCTCTTACACTCTCAGTCAGTGGATCAGTTCATGATCAACAGAACCCAGCCAGCCATTCTAAGGTTCCCCTCCAAAGCCTGGGTGCTGCCTGAAGGGTCCCTCATTCTACACACATGACAAATGGGCCATGACCTGCTTTCCTCCTTCATGTCAGATTCCTTCCTCAGCTCACTGCCATCTGACTTCTCATTTTCCAATGAAAACGACCTCTTAATTGGCAACTGACCCTTTCCCAGGTTTACCTGCTGACAAGTTTCATCACTTGCTCCTTCTTGGGACTCTGGGGTCTCTATGCCACCCTGCCGCTGGCTCTCCTCATAACCCGCCGGGGCGTTCCTTCCGGGGTTCCCTGCTGCCCCTGGCTCTTCGCTGTCCACACTCTCCTGGGAGCTCTAAGCGTTCCTTTGGTTTCACTGGATACTCAGAAACTGGGAGCTCCTGACTATGTCTCTAGCCTGGACTTCTCCCTCAGTATGTTCAACTACCTGCAGATACGGCCATCTAGATGTCACACAGGTAACTCAAGCTCCCTAGGTCTGCAATCTTCTCTCCGTAACCTGCTGCCCACACTGCTGTTGGTGAATCCCACCCCTATCACGCCATTAGAACCCAAGACTCCCCTTGTCTTTGCCTCCCACGTCCACATCTACTCAATCCAGTTTCTCACATTGGTCCCCTCCTATCCCCTCCCCTTCCTCTCGGGGACCCCAGGAGCTCCACAGAGGTCTGTTCAGTGAAGGACATCACGATTCAGTGGGGAGGCCCTCGCCCCGCTTTGCGCAGTACCTTCTTCAGATTATCAATGTCTTCTCTTCCTTTCCGGAGAGTTTCTTTCAACACATCGATCTTACTCTGTTTCTTCTTCAGATGATTGCGACTATATTCGAGTTGAATATTCAGCCGTGTTTTTTGTTTCTCAAATTCTAATCTAGTATGATAAATAAAGTAGGGCATTACAATTGGTAAACAAAGACCGTCACTTCTCTTTTTCTAAATATTTCACTATGGAAAACTTTAAAAAAGTACAACAGTAGAACGACTAGTATAATGAACCCTCAATGTAGCTATCACCCTACTTTAATAATTACCAATTCGTAGTCAGTGGGGTTTCATCTATTACTCCACTCACCCCTCCTTCCCACCACTGGATTATTTGGAAAGGAATTCCAGACATGAGCTAGTTTCATCTGGAAATACTTCAGTATGTATCACTAAAAGGAGAGTGACTCTGAACAGGCCCAGCCATGTGATGATAGGTAAAAATGAAATTCCTTATTAGCAAATTGCTACTCAGTGACAGAGCTCTTCACAGTCATTAAAAAAAAAAAAAAAAACAACCAAACTGGTTTGTTTGAGTCAGGATGCACACGTTGCATGTGGGTGATTT